ATTACAGCGGATCGTATCTCACTTTTTCCAACTTCTTATTTTATCTCATTGGATGCGTAGAGATATGACCCTTTTTGGTGAAAGATCCTCAAAAATAATATACGACCTGAATCAAGGTACAACCTTTTTAGTTGCGATAGGCGATAAATTACTCAACATACATTCTGATGGTGTCAATCAATGTCATATGGTTTAAATCCAACAATCATTGACCACCATCATTGCATACGTTTTTTTTCTAATGTTTCCTTTGATTTATCATTTAAATTCATCGTGGTTTATTACTGACTAGATTTTAGGTTTACGCTAAGGACATTATCTACTTATTTGGAGCATAAACAGGTTTCGGGCCAACAGATAGGTTAAGTTATATTTTCATTTCCCCTTTGTTTTATCAAAAAAGAGGATGTTTTTTATTTACTTAAGTAATCGGTTTTAAATAAACACTTATTAATACACTACAACTTCATTGAATCAGTATCAGATTTAAGCCGACAGTGAAATACACTTAACAAAGCATCATGTAAGCATGTGTATAATTGTTATCATTGAAATCGTGTTTTCGATATTATAAATGTGTGATAAACAATCAAAGAGCCAATTGGAGAATTCCATTTGCGTTTGTGGCTCGTTTCAAGTAGGGAACGTTAATGCGCCATCGGGGCGGATACGCGTGCGTTACTTTCTGGCAATTGACACAACGCCGATGGCAACAACACGCGTGCCAGCTAACCCAAAGTGAGTAATTGAAAAAGCCATTAATACGGTGGCGGTGCAGTGTTACTCGATAATGGAAAACGTCAATTATTATTATTGTTATTTGGCTGTCCACACACCGACTGTGTATACGACTATGATAATATAACTACGATTTTAAACGATTATCTTGTGATTTGTGCGTATACTGCAGCAGATAACTTTATAAAAGTCTCTTATTGGACTCATCACATTGGAACCTGAACATATTTTTAGGGAGTTTATCCGTGTCGATGTAAACAAATCATTGGACGAATATTCACATATATCCTCCTGCAGCGGGGTATATGTGTATATTCGCTACAAAACAAATAGTAAACGATGATTGAATTAATCGGTTTAATAAAATTAAAAAAAAAAAAAATGTACGTAGGAAATACTAATTATGGTGAGTAGAGGGGTGACTGGGAAATGTCCAAATTTTAGCGGGAAGTTTTGGTCTAGTTGTTTGTAGATTTATTTTTAAGAAATGGGGAAAGAAAGTTCCGTCTATATCTTCAATTTGTTTTATTTATTCGTTTCGACTTCATTTGTCGCTGCTGACCTTCAACGTAACAAACGTTTATCGCTCACGAGTTTGCTCGGCAAAAACACGATACAGCAAAGACACTGCAAAATGTTAGCTGTGATAGGGATTACACGTGATCGTATATTATTTCGTTTCCGACCCCATAGCACAAAAACAAAATCGAAAATAACGCAAACTGCAAACTATACACATAATAACCTTTAACAGCATACTTAAGTTTTATTTCTTGTTTTTCTATTTCTGTTTCTTTTTTTTTTTTTTTCGTTTCTTATTAAGGGCATTATTGCAGTCGAAACACAAAAATAATAAATTCCGCGTGTTACAATATTATACCATAGCCGCGGTCGACAGTTCGCGGCCGGGGCAATAAAATCTGTAACTACGAGCCACAACAGATACAAATACCGAACCTAATACATACATTTACCTATATGTACACATACGATACAGCACGCGAATAGCGTCTGCCGGATATACATGGTTAGGTATGCTGTCATTAAATATATATACCCGTGTATAATATATTACAATATTATACGCGCGTAGCATAGCTGCGTGGCATCGATCCGTTTCGTTTAAAGTTTTAGTTAACACCGACGATGTGCGTTTTTCCTCTATCTCTCTCTCTCTCTCTCTCTCTCTCTCGCTTGCAGTGACCGGCTAATACGGCGGCAGCCATGGTCCCTCTATACCCGGCCGTATTCGATTGTGATCGCGATTAATTCGCAAAGCATAACGGGTACACCGATACACCCGGGTATATTGGTACCCGTATATATTATAAGGGGTCGACTGTATTATCTAATACTCCGCCGAGTGGAATATTAACAATGAAAGATAAACGGACGTATTTCGCACGGTGGGTGGGCCACCGTTGTAAGTCGAAAGTTGGGAATGTAGATGGACAATCTAATGTATATCTGTACGCGACGATTCGCGATATCTCTAACGAAAAGCGATTCTGGACGAATTTCGGTCATACGTGTTTTCAAAGCCCGTAATACTAGCGGTTTTTTTTTTTAAATAAAACATTTCGTAAATTTTTCGTAAATAAATTTCGTTTTCATCCGGGTTTCTCCGTGTATTATGAAATCCCCTAGGAAAACCAAAAAATGATTTTCTTAAATTTTTCCTCGAAAAAAAATACACATCACGTAATAATAACTTCTCGATTTATAAATTCAATTCGATTGACCAAAATATGTATTCAATTCCGAGCAAATCATAATTTTTCGTAAACCGATTTTTGAATGTAAAAATTATTAATTTTAAATATTACAAATTTGTGTAGCGTTTTATAAAACTCGTAGCGGACTAGTTGATAAAATTGATTTTTCAAACCTTACAGTTTGAAGAAGCCGCGAAAGTTATAAATGTATATAGGCATATAATACGAAGAATTTATCACTAAATATTGTGCTTTTTTTATTACTATTGTAAAAGTACTTATTAGCCAAGGAGCAAAGCAGAGATATTTTATCGGACTTCGCGTCAAAATTGTTGATGAACTCCATATACAATATACATACAAAACCGACCACTAAACATTTTACAAGAATTATTTTTAATCCCAAATGATTGAAGTCGATTGAAGGTAGACTGTATTTTCAACTAGGTACCAACTGTAAAAAAAAAATTAAATCTTTATTTTTATTCACTCCATTCTCCTGCGTCCTGTCCGTTGAGCGAAGTTTCTCGAGTCAAACAACCAGTTTTACTTTGAACAAGAACCGTCAACGCGCTGAGATTGGAGATCCAAGCTAGATGTCAAACGAAGCAAAGCTTCTAGTATTCGTAATAAAGTATGTGCATTCTTAAACAGTAGGAGTTTATTTAATGTTTACTATTATTGCTATGGGGTATAGTATATTTCGCTTTGTTTTTCTTAATGTATTTCCATGTTAACGAATCCACTGACAAATGTATTATGTACAGGTACATATACTCGCGTAGATTATTATATTATTTTATGGCGGTATTTTGTATTGCAAAAAATTTTAGTGTAGGTAACTAAATTGGAATAACATGCATGAAAAATAATATTATATATAGCATCTCTGAGTATCGTTCGAGTGGAATGCTCGCGTGTACCTTTCAAAATTGATTTACCTATACACCGTCTCGTATAATACGCATATAATATTATCTTATTCGGGCGAAGAAAATTCAATTATTTCTACCGATAAAACTATTTGAATATAGATTTTATCGCATTTTCGTATATTATACATGAAATATTCAGTATAGTTAACTGATTTGTTATTTAGATTTCTTATTAAAATATGATAATATTGATAATATTAAACATGTATATATAGTGAACAAGATGTCTATATTGTCATTAAAATAAATTAAAAATGTAATACTGCTCACGAGTAGTCCACTGTTGTAGGTCGATAGTAGGAAAGATAAAGAATATACAGAGTAATTTAGTTTATATTATGTAATATGAACAAAGATTTATCACTGCAAACGAAAAAATAATTCTGAGTGGAGAAGTTTTATAGTATTTTTTATCTTGTTTTTCTCACATGTCAACAGAAAAAAAAACTTTGGGTGTAAGCTGCTAAAAAGATCAGTTACATTTTTTAGTTCCATTGTTTCCGCAACTTTTAAGGAACTGAAATAATTTATCCATTTGTCTAAGCAAACGTATTTTTTTTATATCCATAAAAAAAAATATCCAGGAAAAATATTTGTAATTTCAACAACATTTTTCAATTAAAACACTATTGGGTAAAAAATTCGCATTTCTAAGATATTACATGAAACAATTAGGGGAATTTTACTAACCGTAAACATGTTTTCTGATAATAAAACTATATATCTTTGTAAAGCGAATAAATTTTTCGTTATACTCAATATTTAAAAAAAAAAAAATTAGAATAATTCGTTTTCTATTTTGATCATATTAAAAATTAAGATACATAAATATATTGAAATTATATTAAATCAAATTCAAAACCTTCGTCCAGAGCATAAACGTAGGTTATTTTCAATATTAAATTGTGTTTTATTTTAGGATCTAATATTGTTTTTTATATACATCAGTGCTGCAACTGCATGTTATGCTCTTAAAAAAGAAGCTTTAAAAGCTTATATCGAATAATTCTTAAAAAGGACACACAATCGGTATGAGGAGACTCTCGCTAATTGCTTGTACTCTAAAAAACAATCATGACTTCAATGACTTGCCCATTCTATTATAAACCAGTCAGAAAATTATATTTAAACATAGTTTATGTGACGTATACATAATACAGTGTTCTACCAGGACAAAACTAAGTTGGTCTAATGTAACAAATATCAAGAAGTCTTCTTTTATTTTATATTTTGGTTTTAGTTATAAAGAAATAATTTAAAATAGGAGCCTTGGTAATAATTTTACATCATAATAAGTATTTTTTATTTACTTTACTTATTTTAAATAAGTGCTTTACATAATAGTAATGATATTATCTTATTAATTTTATTGATATCCCATCATGTATTATGTATATAAGGCGTTAATTTGAATACGATTATTAATCACAATTAATGTTCATCTTCGTATTGAAAATAAATTTATTCAAGGTGGTAAAACGGTACATTATTAAATTGTAATATTAATTAATTTTAGATAAATATATTGCAAATATTCCANTTAAACCTCAGATTGTTGTTTTTCAATATAATGCCAATAAATTAAACATTTTTCGATAAACCAGGTTTTGATTCAAAATAATTGGAAAAACTCTACAGTTTGTAAGGTTTCCGCTTCCACCTCGGTTGGCTTACTCATTACCCACTGTTGAGTGGGAACACTCAACAGTGACCTAAAAGCCGGACCAAACACAACAAAGTTGCGTTGGCTGAACCAGTAGGTTTTTGTTGGTCATGTTTCAGTTTTTAAGAATATACTAGAAAGAGGGAAAGAGGGAATATCAAATTTAGAGGGATCATTTTTTAAAATATTGTAAAGTGTTTCAGATATAGCAGAGACAGAAGCACCAGAATCAAGAAGGGCAGTNTTTTGTTGGTCATGTTTTAGTTTTAAATAAGGGAGAAAAAAAAAAGAGAGAGAGAGCTCGGTCCATCAATGATTTTATATTTATTATAATTTTGTAACGTGAGTTTTAGAACGGTCTAGAAATGGACTAGAGGGGGAAAACAAAAGTAGGAAAAGTGCTGAGATAAAATAAAAAAATAAAAAAAAAACAAAAATATTATAAATTCGGTAAATTGTAAGGGGTTTTTGTTTATTCTGACTGATATTACTGTTGTTGTTGCTGTTGTCGTTGTTGTCGCACGGCTCCTCCGTTCGCGNCGAGAAAACGGAACAGGGTAGGGTTTTAATTTGTAAGGCTGATGTTCACGAACATTGAACTTATATGAAAAAGAATTATGTAACCCTGGACGATCCTGAAAAATGTGATCATACTTATTAATTAGCGATTCTAATAACTGTTGTTGTTGTTCATCAAGAGGAATATCATTAAGAGCAACATTTTTTGTTAGAGGGAAAGGAAACAAGCTTTCACGGGGTTCATTGACTACAGAATTTAAACAGAGGTCTTCTAGTTCAACATGTTTCAGGGAGTATATTAGATCATTACTACTGTTAACAGAAATAATTTTAAAAGGAACCGAAGCATTGGGAGGAGGTAAAATAACTTTACGGATTTTATAATTAAGGGAAATATCGTTTTCAAGCAACCAGTCAGTACCTAAAATAAACGGAGTGGATAGATAGGGAACTATTAAGAAAATTGCGTGCGTTTTAAAGTTGTTAATATTAAATTGTAAGTAGATTTGGGAATTAATTTTGACAGACCGATTTGAGATTCCAGTTTTTAAGAATATAGTAGAAAGAGGGAAATAGGGAATATCAAATTTAGAGGGATCATTTTTTAAAATATTGTAAAGTGTTTCAGATATAGCAGAGACAGAAGCACCAGAATCAAGAAGGACAGTATAGGAGTTATTAAATATGGAGATGTCGATTTTGGGGCGAAAACTAAGTAATGGTGCAATTTTTTGTTCGGGACTTAACGGATGATTTTGTTCGGGACTTAACGGATGAGAGAGAATGTTTAATTGAGGAATGTTGGGAAATGGACATTGAGCTTACAACCCTTTACCTGGTCTTCGATTCCTCACAAGACTGGTCATTGGGCGTTTCCCGTAGGAGGGTTTTGAGAGGTATTAGAAGTACTAGAAGTGTTGGGAGTATTTGATGTAAGATTACCAGGAGGATTGTTGCGGCGGTCATTACTATAAGGGGGACGTCCTTGATATCTGTCTTGATAATTATTATTACGGTTGGAGGAGTTATTATTAGTGTTATTAGGTCGATTACTTTGAGAGTGGTCATATGAATTTGAGGGATTATTGGAAGAATTATTGTTAGGACGGTAAGAATGCTCAGCATATGAAAGGTGGTCAATGAGTTCATTAAGGGTTTTGATACGGAGAATTCTTAAAGGACTAGCTACTGTTTCTGGGAAGTGAGAGAGAATTTGAAAAATTAGGGTTTCGTTTTCCATGGGGGGATTAAGGTATTTGGCTTTATTGATCCATTCTATTGCATGTTTTTGAAGAGAGGACGTATCGCGATGAGAGTAAGGACGAGAGAGTTCATTACGGGTCATTAATTGTTTATTGTATGACCAGAAATGTTGACGGAAAAGTACGGTGAAATCATGGAAAGTGGTAGGAGGAGGAGTGAGGGCATGGAACCATTGTTTGGCATCACCAGTCATCCGTCTTCGGACCATGTTAATTTTAAGAGAGTCTGGGATATTTTGAAACTGGAAATAGTCATTGATCTCGACAAGAAAAGCTTCAGGATGAGTAGGGGTGAGGTTACCATTAAATTCAGGGATCACATCAGAGTATTTTTCTTGAGAGAAAATAGAACTATTGTTAGAAGAATAAAGTTGAGAATTATGAACGTTATCTTGATTTAAAAGGGGGGGTAGTTGATTNCGTGTTGATTATGAGAAAGAGCGGGTTGAAAATTGGTGGAGACTGGTTTGGGTGGGGCAATGAAAGTAGAAGAAGGAATTTGAGGGCCGAAAGAGTATCTTGTTTTTTTAGGACTATCTATCCCGAGCAGAGATTGAGTGGTTACAGGGGGATTAGAAAAAGAATTTGTAGTGGGGACTTTTATTTTTTCAAAAGCGATTTCGAGAGCAGCTAACCGGGCAGATTGACCCTCTACTGAGCACAAGCGATCAGAAAAACTAGCTAGATCAGACTTGAGTTCAGACCGTACGTCTGACACTTGTTTATCAGTGTAGGCCTTACACTCAGCTTGAGTACTCTCCAGTATTGATAATAGATTAGTGTTGATCTCTGTCATATCCTTTAGCTTGAGTACTCTCCAGTATTGATAATAGATTAGTGTTGATCTCTGTCATATCCTTTTTGAAGTACTCTCCAGTATTGATAATAGATTAGTGTTGATCTCTGTCATATCCTTTTTGAGATCAACTGTCATATCCTTTTTGAGATCAAGGAAAGAATTCTGACATTGTCTTTGGGACTCTTTAAATTGCTTTTTGGAGTCTGTATGGAACTGAAGTAATAAAGAGCGTAGGTCAGGTTGACAGTCTTCAATAGGGGGGGAAATAGAGCGAGCGGTAGAACTTTCGTTGTCAGACATGTTTAGAGATAGGTCGAAAGTAGGTAGTATGGAAGGAGTACGGTAAGAAGCACTGGGGTTGTACCGGTCAGGGACTTTCGTCGGCCGTTTCCCGGCTCCTTGCATTAAGAAGGTATAGTGAAATATACAAGTGAAGGGCAAGAAGAGAAAAAGAAAGAAAAAAAAAATAAAAAATCAGTTAAAACAAATTAACCGGAAGAAATTAATGAGGTTCAAACTAAACAAAAAAAAATAGGCTAAAAGAAGCAAATAAACTAAAACTTATATGATAAGATAGTAATGAAACATCCACGAATAGTGTAAAGGATAAAGATCTGTATTAAAACGGCAAATATCAGGTATAACAACGCTGACAGACACAATAAACTATAAACGTTAAGGAGTGGTTATCAAAACCGTATATACTACTAATATAGTTTATAATAAAAGAATACAACAATATAATGACGACTGGCCTTAGGTGGATCACACTAGGAGCTGTACTACGAGTACAAATTCAACAACAACAACATCCAGTAACAACAAAATAAAATAAACATTCATAAATAAAGAAATAGGGGGAGAGGGTGGTGTCATGACAGGTAAGGGAAAAGAAAAAAAAAACATTAGAAAAAATAAACCTATTTTAAAACAACTAACCTAATTCTAAATCTAAATGTTTACTACTACTGTGGTCTAAATAAGGAAATTGTCATGGACAATATATATACTAGGAAAAAGGAGAAAATAAAGTAACTTAACCCATAAAATATGAACAATAAGGAGAAAATGAGCAACCGTCTTACTAAGGACAGGTTGACAGTATGTGCATATGAGGGGGCAAGTTTAAAAAAATATTACGTGAACGTGAAGTGAACCTGGCAACTCATACCATCTAACACACAGTTGACCACTTCAGCATCCATCCACCGATCCATTCAAACAGTACCGCACAACACATGTTAACATAAATTTATGGGATTAACAAACATAATATGGAGGGGGGATAACTTAATACTAAGGGTGGATATTACCTGATAGGTGTACAATTGTAGGGTTTTGCACGAGGACAGGAAAAAAAAGGAAAATACACTTGTTCACTTTTTTTTTT